ACATCAATGATTGCAATTCTGAGTAGGTTCTCAAGGCAAAAGTAAAGATTTTTGATGAAATTTTACTCTTCCGGTACTTCATCCTTGAGAACTATTGTTCACAAGTGTACATACTGCCAAAAAGCAATGGCATGAATAAGTTGTGATTGTGAAGTGAGGTGTATTACTCTTCTCTAAGAGAAGTCTTACAAAGATTTGGTGAAGACACATGATCAATTCTTGAGTTGAATATCTGATACCAATTCTTTGCATTCCATTTGAAAATTCACAGGTAAGATATTTATGTTGACTAAAAATATTGACTATTTAAGTTGACAAGTATACTACATACATATATGCAGCAGTCTTAAAGCTTGTTTTCAAACTCCTTTGTCCAAACAGAAAGCAAGACTGAATACTCTCCCCTGTTTACAGGGCTGTATTTAGGCAATTATCAGAATGCACAGTTGCCATAAATTCATTGTTGCATTGCACCATCCCCATGTCCTGATTTCAGGCCATACCAATCACACACTGATGTGACCGTTTCTGAGCAGTGGGTGCATGCCTGGGGTCAGGCCAGGCTGCTAACTGGGGAAGAGTCACCTCCATGATGGTGCATTAATACACTAAATGCACTTTTCTTTCTCACATTGTGTAAGTATGCAGTGTATATCCTGCAGCTCTTTACAGTCTGTTGTGTGAAGGGCATGGGTATCACAATGGAAGTAAATGTGTTGATGGAGTACATGTAAAATGTGTCACATATTCACTATGAGGGAGGCTGGCACCACATCGTTAACACTCCATAAATTTTGTGAGAGAATCTCTCCCTTTTTCTTTCTGGATGCTACAGTGTATAATCGCAGTGTAGTCTGTTGCATTCATTTGCCTCAGAATTCAGTCACAACAGCCTCAGCACTCCTCACACAGTTTGTGATGAGAAATTCTCCATCTATGAATCCAGTCTACTTTACATGCCTTTGTCTCGCTCCAATTTATAGGAGGGAGAGGAGGTTCTTTTATTAAATAATATCTTACAGCCTTATACATCCACCTCTATGTCGAAAGGGTGATACAACCTTTGCAGTAAGCTAGGCTCCTTTCAACAACAACAGAAACTGATAAATAGATGGAATTCTAGCAAAAAGATAAGGTGAAACCTATCATCTGGTTTAGGTCTCTATAAAGCAATCTCACACTTCTAAAAATGAATAAATTGCTAAAATACTAATCCAAGTAGGGAACAGAGTGGTCAGGTGGTCAAAACAGCTTTTCACTCTTTACAGAACTGCACAACTCACTATTCTGGCACTAGCAATCTTCTAATATTTAGAACCTTGATTTATTACAAGCGAATTTATTTTCTATCAACATGATACCTTACCTCAGAATTTTCAAATGGAATGTATAGAATTGCAATCAAAAAGTTGATCATGTTTCTTTGCTGGACTTTTATAAGACCTCTCTTATGAGAGAGAAATATCCCTCACTTCACAATCACACCCTATTCTTGTCATTGTTTTTTGGCAGTATGCACATTCATGAACAACTGTTTTCAAGGATGAAATACAGGAAGAGTAAAATTCCATCACCAGTATCTGACGAACAGTCTGAGAATTCCCTAGGACCTGCAATCACTACCATCAAACCAGACCAATACATCAGTTTCGCAAAAAAAAAGGTCATATACTCCACGAGTTTTATGAGTTTGTTGCCCTTTTTCCGCTTGTTTTAATTGAAAATATTGAACATTAAAATAATTTTGTTACATATAGACATTAATTACATTTTTTATGAGGGCTGCTCTGAAAATTATCCCTCCTATTTTATTATATTGGACCATGATGTTAGAGGAGGATGTTGCTGATATGGCAGTCAAGGGTTAACCGTCCCTCCAACATTCTGTTACATTCTGTTGCCATAGGACACAAACAGCTGGCCTGGTAAAATAGTGTCCAACATGAAGTGTGGGTAAAGTAAAGGTGTGTCACTGAATTCCTCCACATAGAAAAAATTGCATCTATTGATATTTCTCAATGCTTGCTGAACAATTATGGAGACCAAACAATGGATGTGAGCATGAATTAGGCATTTCAGCAGCGGTGACACTGACAGTGGGGATCAGCTCCACTGGTGCAGATTTTTATCAGGATGGCATGGAAATTTCTGTTCATTGCTGGTGAAAATGCATAGCTAATGTTGACTGAGGAAAAAATAGTGTCTTGTAGCTGAGAATTTGCTCTATCAAACTGTCATTTTGCTCTTCGTGTCTAATCTCATTTCCATGGACATAAATAAAAGGCATTACTTTTGGAAAGACCTTTGTATATGCAACCCAAGATGAATTCCCTCTAAACAATGTGGCCCACGCAAGCCGAAAGGTTGGATACCCTTGGAAAAAGAAAACATTGTAATTGGGAGAGTGAATGGTGATCCAGCAATTTTGTTTCTCTGTGATTTCATATGTAACTTAAGTTATTTTTGTACAATAACAGCTTTTCATACTACCTCAACTCTACTTTTTCATCCTTTATTGTTTTGCCCTTTTCATCTTCGTTATTTCACCCTTTAATATAGACTTTTCAGGGCAGGAACAGTAAAAGATCCTTCACAGTTGTTTTTTTTTTTGCATATGTAAGATTCACTGTGCCTTACTAAATAAAAACAACGTTCTTGATCATATTCCACCCACATAAAGAGCTGCACACTATTCAATATTGTTTAATATAACACATTCAGAATCTTGTTACACTGGAATGCATTATTTTGTTCTGGAGTTGCTGCACCACGCACATTTTGATGAAGCTTGGCCACTTTTTCTTTTCCAAACCCTCCAAAAAGAACAAGCTATAGCAGCCCTTATTACTTCCACTGACATTAACAGAAGGTAATAGGAAAGAGACACTAAAGAATTGAAACTATGCCAGAACCAAGGCTCTGACAAGAGTAAAGATATCATTATATGCCACCAAGTATTATTCACTTCTAATGCCCAGGCAGCAAGCATCCCTTTATTTCAGTGTAACTTTCTTTTCACAGCAAATACCTTGGCTATTCAATACAGAATGCTTTGCATACCTCAGTAACAGAGCCGGTCAAAACTAGAGCAGAGACAAAGCTCCAGGAGACAAGCGATTTCTTCCTTTTTTTATGTCACCATGTCGAGGAATTAGTCTCTGGAATGAGCAAAACAGGCAGCAGTAGCATTTCTCTCACGCAGCTAAATCTGTCAGAGATTGAAAATCAAAGCACTCAGAAGGTGACTGATTTCTTTTTGTTCAAATATTTGGATGTCAGATTCTCACAACAGTGTAAATCAGCATTATACTGCTGGAGGGAGCAGAACAACACAAGAGGACTAAAATAGCAACTGATGCATTTTTAGTGCATCCCAGTAATGAAAAGCCTTCAAAAACAAGACAGAGGGCAGGCAGTCACTTTTCCTACTGATTCCAGACATACCGTGTACACCATGGTAGCACACACTTAGTGAGGACTATTCCTAGGAAACTCAAGGCCTCATGCAGGCTGCTGAACCCCAGCAAAGGATCTTGGCTTCTAGCAGATGTGGGAAGACAACCCTATTTGTAAGTAAGTTCCTGCTCTATTTGTTGCCCAAATGGCTGAAGTGAGACCTATTCTGTCATCCTTTCCATGAATGGGACTCAGCTCTGCAAAGCTCTGCAGGCAGTGCTAAGTTTGCTCAGGTGCTGAGTAGGACAGCACGAGGCAGTTTCACAGGTACAGGACGTAACAGGTGTGGATGATGTTTTCTACAACATACAGGTCTACAACATAGGCCTTGATTTTTACACTGAATAATGCAAAAATATTAGTTAATGATTTATCCCAGAAAATAACCTATTTTAAGTTCCTTCCTTTCTGCACACTTGTCACGCATTCTTTACAGCTGATTAGACTGGAGATAAAACACATCCAGTCTAGCTAAGATCGTTCAATCTCATTTTCTGCAGGTTCTGTGCACCCAATCAATTGCAGGACTCGTGAGCCTTTTAACCTTTAACTGTTGTTTCCTCTTAGTGAGTTCCCAAATATAGTGCAACATTTCTTAATACTGAGCTCCTCCTCTTTTACGCTGTGCAAGCATCAAGCAATGCACGAATCTTAGTAGTGCCACTGAAACACGTATTTGCATCTATATCCCGTCCTAATATCCACAGAGAACACTGCCACATATATATTTTGCCCATGAATTCCAGTGAAGTCTGATAGCTACAAAGAAAACTTCGTAGTGATTATTAACTCAAGGATATATTCTAAGATGTTAAGTCATTAATACTGACCCTAGCTTAGAGGTGCTACTTTGGCCTTTCTGAGGTCACTTTCCTAAAACCACAGGCTCTTTCTGCGTGATGATGTTTCATGAGACTAGCATCCCCCCACATTGAACAGCCACCCAACCGTTCATCACGTAATGAGAGCATTTCCCTTATATGTACCCTCATGTTTTGTGCTCGTCATGCAAAGCATTTTGCACCAAAATGCTGCCAGTTGGCAGCTGTGTCTGTGCAAAGATTCCCTTACAACCTGACAAGCACCAAGTGCAGGAACACGTTAGATTTCTTCTATTGTAGCCCACTTTCCCACTGATGACCAACCAGCCCGGGGTGGTGCAGAAACTCCTCCAAAGCCCCGGAAAGGTGGACGGGGCTCACGGCTAGCGAAGCCCCCGTTGGGGCGGGCATGAGTGGCGGGGATGGTAAGTGGGTGACAGAGCCCACGTACGAGAGCTTCCAACCTCCGCTGCGTGCAAAGACGCTTCTCTGCTGCCCTCGCATAAAGGCGCTCTTTTGCCCGAGCAGCACCTCGCGCTGCGGCGTCCCGCCGCACAACCGAGGCCGCAGAGGCTCCGCGACCAGCTTCACCACTAGGCGCAGGGGGAACCGTTTTAAGCAAAGCTTCCTTCGCGCTCCGCCCCCAGCTCCGCGCTCCGGCTCCACGGCGGCGGGGCCCGCCCCGGGGCGGGAGCAGCAGCGGAGCGGTCCGTCCCGTCCCGCCGCGGCGGCGGAGGGTCGCGCAGTGCGGTGCCGATGGTGCTCATGCCGGAGCAGCGCTGCGATGCGGAGGAGTGGAAGGCTGGGCGGCCGGCCGGCCGGCGGGAGCACAGGAGCGCTCTGCATCTGTGAGTAGGGCCAGGCGCGCGGACCCGGAGGGGCGGCCGGGGGGCTGGGGGTCCGTGCGCGTTGGCTGTGGTGCGAAGTTGAGGGGAAAGTGGTGAAGAGCGTCGCGCCGAAGCGCGGCCGCTATCCGCTGCGGTTTCCGGCAGATCGCGGAGTTGTGCTCCGCTCCTCCGGAAGCCTTCAACTCGGCCAAAAAGTGCTCGTGGCGAGCGGGGCCGGGCTTGAACACAGCAAAAGTGCTCCGGTGGGAAGGAGAACAGGCTGGCTGTCAAAGGGCACCGAGCAGCGCGAGGCGGGCAGTCCAGGGGCCGCAGCTTTGTCGTAAAAGAGGAAGCTTTTTCAAGAGGAAGAGTGAGAGAATGAGGGAAGAAATCATTACTTGCTCCTAGTATTCTTCCCCCCTAAGTATTTTTCTTCAAACAGTTGTAATCTCCTGGGGGGGTAAAAAAAAAAAAAAAAAAAAAAAAAAAAAGGAAAGAAAAAGGAGAACAAATTACTAGCAACAAGTTCCCTTTCTAGAGGGAAAGTCTGCGAAGTTCTGTATTTTTTTCGTTGGCAGCTGTATCCCCACTCTTTGAGTAGTTGTATTCCCAAAGTTTCTATCACAGTTGCAAAAAATAACTTGCCTGTCAGAGAGCAGCAATATTCAAAGCTTATTCTAAGTGTCCAATGTCCTGTGTGGCCACATTAGTGACTTCACATGGGAGGTGTAGCTCCATGGCCTCTAGAACCTTTTAACTTCCAGTCTTGTGTCCTTATCCCCACACGGAAATATGGCAACCTCATGAAGTTATTCAGGCGTTCAAAATTTGTGTCTGATTCTGCACTTAGGGCCAGGTGCACCAGACAGCATAGAAAAAAAGGTGATGTCAGAGCTGCTACACAATGCTCTGTTTTGTCCCATCTTTGAGAGGTGAATCTAGTGTAGTTTCAGAGGTAAGTCTTAACCAGCGTGATAAATGTTGAAAACTCCTGTTTAACATCTCTGGAAAGGGAAGGGAAGGGAATGGAAGGTCAAGTAACCTGGTTATGGTTCTGGGGGAAAAAAAAGACAGAGAGGATCTGATTGATGTTTATAAATACCTAAAGGGAGGCTGGAGGCAATTGGATAAGGTCAGACTTTTCTCTGTGGTCCCCAGCAACAGGACGAGGAACAATGGCCTAAAACTTGAACATAGGGTTTTCCATACTAACCTGCAGAGGAGCTTTTTTTACAGTAAGGGTGACAGAGCACTGCCCAGAGAGGTTGTGGAGTCTCCTTCTACGGAGATATTTAAGAGCTCTGTGAAGACCCACCTGTGCAACCTATTGTAGGGAACCTGCTTTAGCAGGGAGGTTGGATTCAGTGATCTCTTGAGGTCCCTTCCAACCCCTGCAATTCTGTGATTCCTAGCCATCAGTTTTTGTACCTACACCTAGAAAGTAGCATCTTGGTTTTTTGTTCTGCAGGCTACAGAATGTTCAGTAATGCTGGCCTGGGCAACAGGAGAATGAAAGTATTGAGGTAGCAGAAAATGTTGAAATACTAAATTAGAAAATTGTGTTAGTGTATAGTGACTGGAACCAAAGTTGGAATGTATTTACCAATCCTATTTTAACTGATAAGTGAATCCCCGAAGAAGTGCTGTGTTAGTTTGGCTCTGAGTTAATGTCAAAAGTAAAGTAACATTGGTTTGACTGAAGTGCAACTATGAGGCGATTGTTCAGCTGAAGAACAAAGACAGAATCTTGGTCTTGATTCTCTCAGAGGTGAGCTAGCAGAAAATTGAATTGCTGAAGATTTGTTTCTTTAAAAAAACAAACAACAACAACAACAACAAAAAACATAAATAAGCACGTGCATGTTGGGATGGAGGGAGTGTTCTTTCACTTCATGTAAAGCCCGGGAACAGTGTGCTACCAGCAGGGCTTGTGCTGGCTTCTCCTTGAAAAAAATTCCATTGGAGTGGCTGAGGACCACGGAATCTTAACATTTTCCAAAGCACAAGAGATTTATGTGCATGGATTCCTGTACTTCCTGAAGGTATGCTTGAAATATTGTTCTGTTTAGAGATGGACTTTATAGCTCAAAATGCTTCTGCAGCCATAGTGGTTTCCCAAGTACTCCTGTTGGATTGAAGCTGTAGAAGTTTTTATTTTAGTTAATTGATTTAAAGATTTAATCTGAGATTATATTAATCTGCTCCGTGATTTGCACAGGAAAATTTGAACATGTTTCAACTGATTTAGGAAATGGGATTCTCTGGCATATCCAGAAATAGGCTCATAGTCTCTACAAAGCTTGCATGACACTTGCAGGATAAAATACCCCAGTGGTTTCACTGGACAGAAGATGTGTGCTGTTATTCACACACAGAGTAGTGTTGTGCCAAAACTTTGTTGTTAAGTGGAAATTTTTGCAATTGAACTGTAAGTTGCTGGGCAGAAAACACTTCCAAGCAGTCACCAGTACCTGTTGTATCCTAACATGGATAGCTGGTATGTGGTCCAGCACCAGAAAGGAATTAACTGTTGCATTGTATAGAATAGAAGTTTGTTTCTCTGACTTGCAAGTGGGGTGTATTCTTGGGACACTTGTGATGTTGCTCTAAGAGGCTGGAAGCCTCACTGCATGGATTGCTGTTGAAACAGAAGTTGTGTCACAGGAAACGGGGCCGTGCATGACGGAGAAATGGCAACGATGTACTAACATGTGGTGCATATTCAGTGTCAGCATCTTTGTTTTTTCACATGTATTTGTTTATGTTGTGTCAGGACAGAAATTTTTGGATTCCACAAGCAGTATTTATCCTGAGACCATTATATCTGTCTGCACTTAAGGCAGTGTACTGAATTACTGAATGGTAAGGTGTTGCTAACGTTAAATGGAGCGATGTTGCAGGCACAAGGTGGCATCCGGCTACTGAGTATAACTTAAGCAAATGAGGAGCTGAGACTTACAACACTGAAAGATTTGGAAACTTTTCCTTTTTTTTTTCTTTGAACAGAATAGGGTCCTGAGGAACATGTACTACTGAAAGCAGTGGAAAATGCTTATACTCAAATTATGTACTTCTTGGAAAAGATAGAATGTGATTTTTATGGTGCTTTTCTCTGTATTGTGCTGCAATAACAGATGTTAGCTCAAAACTACTTACCAACTGATAAGTGAAAAGTTTTTTTTATTGGTTGACCTGTGCATAAACACAACTCATTAACCTTTGTCTTTAACTACATTACTTGAAGTATAAAAAGGACAGAGGTAAGTGATGATTGCTTAGTACTTATTAGAAGTTGTAAGCTCTGATCCAGATCCTTTCCAGCAGTTAAACTCCTACTATGTGTTTGTTATATGTGGTCTTTTTATTATTATTATTGATTGTTTGTTTTTCAAGGACTGCAGGGCACTGTAGGTGTGTGCCTACATACATGTTCTACACTAAATGGCACAATGCATCTTATTTTTTTAATTCTTCCCTGTTAGTTCTTTCTTATTCTTTGTAGTATCATTTGCATTGTGTAACCTGAAAATAAGGTTACGTCTGTAAAGTGAAACATTTCAATTTCAGATGTGACATAATAGAGTTTTCTGGTCTGGACAATATTTTTTTGTTCATAATTGTTTTTAATTGATCCTTTTTCTTTTCCTATTTTGTTCATGTATATACATGCTAAAGTTACAAGGCAACTTTTCTTTAAAAAAACAAACAACAAACAAGTGCCATGTTTAAGTGCATTTAACTTGTGTGCAGGTTTAAGTATCTCATGAATCTGAACTGATGTTTTCTTTGTACCAAAGTGCATCACTGATCAGCCTGAAATGCTCCCAAATGTGCTGCCCTTTACTCTTTATTTGTGGTCTATGAGAACTGTGAACTATGAGAACTTAATACTCTTTGCAGATAAGCATTAGGCACTGGGATTGATTGCTGGTGTTTGACAGGTGATACCATGCTTACTGATACCACTGCTGGGACCAATAGTCTCCATGTTCTCTACATGGTAGTTGCCACAACTGTATACTACACTGGTTAGCTGGAAAACTTATACCCACATCATCTCAACTAGACTGGGATAAAAGAAGTAAACTTGCAGTGTTAGAGCTAGTTCTGTGTTTTCACTGTGTCTTGAAGCAGATGATAAAACCTTCAGCCCTCAAATAAAATTTTACCTGGAACAGACATTCTTCAGCCTCTGTCCTTGAAAAATAACATGCTAAGGTGAGGACGGTTAGTAAGCTTCCAGAAAAACTAGCAGGAAATAATGTGGAAGTTACAGGTGGGCAGCAGGGAAACTCAGCAGGACAGAGGATGTACTGATAGAATGAAGTGTTCCTCCTCTCAGGTAGAAAATGTCTGGATATTTCACTGTGAAACAGTAGTTCCTGATAAACCTCAAGAGTCAGTCCTTCCTAGGTGTACTGTAGACATCCATTCCTATGGGCAGTTCAGTGATTGAGCTGTCTGGCAATCTTGGCATGGAAGAAATGCTAAGTTTGAGGCAACTGGTGCAAATATTGGCAGACAGATTGGTTCAGTTATACATTGGTAAACCCACATAGTCTCTTCTTGGGAAAGCTGCTCTGGCACCCTTTTTCCTTAAAGTGTGATTTTTAACACAATTGGAAAGGAAATCTTGCAAGCCACTAATGCGTGCCTCATTAGACTTGTTTAGAGGCCTAGCTTCTGCTTCCCTCCTCCTTGCTAGTTTACTAATACATTCTTTTGACTTCTCGTTATTTTTTTTTTTTTTTTTAGTTTAGCCTGTCTATTAAACAGACCACCTGTAGTTCTTGAGGACAATTTTGTAATTACAACTTATTCTGCACTAGTTGAAGTTTTGTTTGGCTTTCCTCTGGACAAGAAGCAATGTTATAGTACGAAAGTCTAAAGTGTAATGAAATTTTATATTTGTTCTTTAGATCTTCAGAAATCTTAGAGTCCATGTAAATTTGCTAAGCCCAGCATAGGAAGGACTGATTATTGCCCTTCAGAATGGCATGTAGACCATGAAAAAGCGCAGT